TGGGAGGAACTACAGCGACCAATCAATTACATATTCCAGTTCACCTTAGCCAATCAGATCACAGGCATGAATAAAACTGCAAAACCTAGTTTGAATCGAACCTCTGAACTGTGCGCGCTTTAAAAGCTATAAACAAAACCGTAAAGCCCCCATGACCATTAAGCTCACCTTTATTTACTTCAATAAATGAAGTAATGCCTCCTCAAACAGATGTGCAAAAGGAGATAATGTCTGCGGGTGAATTGGCTTTATAATGCGAATCAAACATAAACATGAGCAAAAAGCCTGAGTGTCAGCTAAAGGCTTTTATTCCCCGTCCGAAATGATGATGATGGTTTTCTGTGAATGATAAGTGTGTTTGTCTCGTATTGTGATAAAGAGGGACATTTGTGTCGCTTGTTTGCCGGTCTGATGTCAGGAGAACGCTTAGATTGGGGATTGATCAAGCACTCGGGTCAAGCTGTCATCCCTGTTTGAAAATGTGGTCAGGTCCGCCTGGAACGGATCCTGAATGTCAAATGTTTTGCAAATGTTATAAAGATAACAGCTATTGGGAATATAAATGGCACACATATAACTGATTATCATATCAAATATTGCCATTCAACTGCAGTCAAACATAAGTTGCCAAACCAGATCTGTTAAGCATTACATCACTGATTTTTGAGTATAGGCCTACCAAGACTTTAGCTCTCAAAAAAAAAAATTTTTTTCCATTTTGTTATCTGTCCAAGTTGTTCAGAGGTATTCACTTATGTTTGCATGTGATATACTTTTTCAATCAATTTATGAATTGAGACCACAGAATGATTTGAGACTGATTTTTAGCTCCATCTATTGAATTGTCACCACAGACTAAAAAAAGAATCTTGTTTAATTATATGTTGGCAGGTTAAATTAAGACATTTTGTCCCATCGCTCAAGTATCAGTGATATTATGTTTGCTAATGAATTAGTATGGAAAGTTATTTAAACTATAATAATCAAACAAACCCATTCTGTTTATATATCATAGGATTATTTAATAAACCACACCTAGACAAATAAATAATAATGAAAAGACATTAGTTAGTTAATGCCATAGAGTACTACACTGAAAAGAAGTGTGTATAGTAACAATTTTCACTCAGAAATTGCTATCATTCTTTATTGCTAAAGAAAGCAAGCAACGTTGAATTAAACATGAAATTTTGAAGCAGAAAGACTGAAATACTATTTTCTCGTAAAACAGGCTACTCCAGTAATGTTTGTTTACAACTTCGAAAAATCATTTTAAAGTGAACCTCTATTTATAAACTAGATACTCGTTGACGAACTTGAGTGAGTCTCATAGATGGTTTTAGTCGTTTAATCGCACGACTGACCACAGCAAATTTTCACGTATTTGCGTTCCGTTCATATTTGCACAGAAACGCAAATAAGAGCGGACGTGACGCTTCAGAAGTAAAACATCGCAAGCGTGCGCTCCGTATAACGGACGCGTTCTAGTTTTGACGCGTCGCGTCGTTCTCAGTGCAGTGGTGACCTTGGGTTGATAGCGTATAGAAACGAGCTCTTACCCCTCAGCAGAGAGAATCTACGGTCCCGTTCTTCACTTCGCAAATAATTCCTCCCGTTTCCAGAAACTCCTGAGGTAAACGCTTCTTCAAGGCTCCATCTCAATCTGTTTTCTCACAGATGTGAACTTTGCTCCAAACATTTGGGTTGCCAAGCGACCTTGCTGATACAGACAAAAATGTAAAAACAAAAATAAAAATAAAGTTGAGGACAAAAAGTCTAGAACGATGCAACAGGTGCGCTCGAGCGAGAGTGACAGGTGATTCGCGCTCGTAACTCTACCTGCCGCGCGAAAGGGGGCGGAGCCTGCATATGAACGCGTGCACTTTTAATGCAGTCTTTCTGGAACATACACAAATCATTTTAGTCATGGAATATTTAAAGAGCTTCGCCCTGTAGCTTTACAAAAAGGACATGAATAACTTGACTATCCATTACTTACTGATATCAGAATACAAAAAAATTTTAACACATAAACAAAACAGCAAAGAATAGGCTACTAATATAACATTAAGTAAAAAGATATTTTAATATTTGAATAATATTGATAATATTTTAAACTGATTTAAAATAACATTGAATAATTGCAATATTTTCTAATGGTGCTGAATATGCATCCACTGTATTCATATCCATTTCAATATCACACAATGCATTTAGGCAATTCCTCTTGTGTGTGTGTGTATATATATATATATATATATATATATATATATATATAAATTTTTGCATTGAAACTGAATCACTATCCATTATTATTGTAGCCTAACTAAAAATGTAAAATAACATTAAATAAATAAATAAAACTGCAAAGACCAATGTAACGTTAAGTGAACATGTAAATAATATTTAATATTGAATTAACAATTTTCTAAAGGTTCTGCCTTTAGACTACTATATTACTATATACACTATATTCATATAAATTTCACTGTCACACAATGCATTTATGCATTTCCTCAACTTACAAGTATATATGACTGCAAATAATTTAAATTTAAGTTTCACTAACAAATATAAATCATAAAATAATTTCTGCTTTTCTCCAGAGCTAAAACATGTATCCTCCGCCTTGTGCACTATACAGAAAAATTTCTATACCAGTATACCACTATGTCAGATTTTATAATGACTACCTGGAACCAAAAAATGTTTGGTTTATTGGTTTATTGAAAGTCATCCCTTCATTATCAACCATTTTATTGTCATCCTTTATGCACCATGTTCTGGCAAAGCAGAAAATTGGTTTAAAGAGACATTCCTGGCTTAAATCGATATAACCGCGTTTATATTAGAATGTGTATGCCATCTTGTGACGTTTGTTTAGAAATGTAAGCAAATTCCTGTTCCTGGTCCTGTTCTGTAACCCTGTATGATCAAGGAGAGGCATCTTCAAAGAACGGAGTGAAAGAAGAGCAACAGGGTGGAACATTGGACAGGTTTGGATGTCACTGGTTATGGAGCAACTCAGGCCTGCAAACACACTTTTGTCTTCCTGATCAGTCTGAAATCAAGATGAATGTTGTTGGGGGAAGTCGTGGCCTAATGGTTAGAGAGTCGGACTCGTAACCCAAAGGTATGTACAGCGCTCTCTCCCACCTTCAATACGGTGAGGTGCCCTTGAGCAAGGCACCGAACCCCCAACTGCTCCCCGGGCGCCGCATCAAAAAATGGCTTCGGGCGTGTGTTCACTGCTGTGTGTGTGCACTTTGGATGGGATAAATGCAGAGCACTAATTCCGAGTATGGGTCACCATACTTGGCCACATGTCACACTTTATGTTTTTTTCCCCTTATTTTTTAAGAATAAAAATGTAACCATTTACTCACCCGCACATCATTCCAAACTCAAATAACTTTCTTTATTTTGTGGAATAAAAGTGGATGGAACCAAAGTGGATGGGGAACAGGGACTATCACGCACCAAAAACAACAACAAATAGCACCATAAAAGAGTCATGAACATAGTCCTGCTCTATATTCCAAATCATCTATAAGCTTAGAAACAGACCAACATTGTTATTAAATCTTGCCTACTTGACAGCTGCGGTCAATGTTTAGACATTCTGCGAACTCCTTTTAGTTCTGCACGGAAAAAAGACAGACATGAAAGTAAATTATAACAAAATTTTGGGTCAAATTAAAAAAAAAAACTATCCCTTTAAAGGAATAGTTCACCCAAAAATGAAAATTTGCTGGAAAATTTACTCACCCAATAGGATCCATTGGTGAGCAAGTGATGTAATGATACGTTTCTCCAAATCTGTTTTGATGAAGAAACAAACTCATCTACATCTCGCATGGCCTGAGGGCAAATTTTCATTTTTGCTTGACCTGTTCCTTTAAGATGAAAATACACATATCACATCAAACAGAAAAACTTCACACACACACACACACACACACACTATAAAGTTTAAGTCCACTGGTATGCAGACAGGTTGGTGAACTGCAGTGCATGCACACAGACCAGTGGAGTGTTTGACTTTGGGAACCTTGAGTTTTGGTTTATAATTAACATCAGAGGACAGAAATGACACATGAAATGCTCACTTTCTCAGGATTACATTGACTGCTGAAAGAAGCAAGTTCTGTTAAACATTATTCATAAAACTGCACAAAAGAATGACTTGGTGATAAATTCAGAGGCAAATGACTTTGTTTGAGGTTTGGTGAAACTGGACATTAGGAGAGCAAAGAGCAATTTGCATGTGGATTTGAATGTACAGTTTGCAAACAGAGTTGACTGTAGGGCACAGCAGTGATTTCACACAGTGAAAAACATAATTTCATATTCTAGAGAAGATACACACCAATAAACCTCGCACAGTAAAACCACAGACTGCACACGATTAGGCTAAATCAAATCAGAAAATATTACATGTTAAATAGATGCCCTCTACTGGAGAAACTAACAACGTGCTTAATACGGCTACAAAAAGTTATTTATAAAGTCATTAATCTTATATATCTATTATAGCCTATACACAATTTTCGTTTCATACCAGACAAAAAAATAGTAACAGCAACTCCTATTAATAATGTTTCATACATGCAACAAAAATATATATTTAATGTTTTTGCTTAAAATAATTTATTAAAATATATATATAGGCTAGCTTTTACATATTGTTGTCGATTGAAAAAAATCTGTTAAACATTGAGATAAAGCATTTTTGTTAATTTGATACATTTGCTTTATTCTAACAGATTTTGGTCTTGTACGGTTTTATTTTATTTTTATCATGTTTTATATATATATAATGAACGGGAATCATTTAGAAAGTTCTGAGACGCACAAAGCCTTATGACGCCACAGAGCGCGTTCGAATAGAACTCGCGGGATATATAAAGCGCGTGACATTCTTACATTCTTTGTGGGTTTGTTGTAGTGGTCAGTGAGTTTTCACAGCGATGGGACAGCGAGGTACTAAAGTGAGTCCGATGACGGTTGGCGAGGTGTACGATCAACATCTTAGTACACCCCCAAAACCCAGCACCAACACGGCGCTTCAACATCCTCATCCCCGCGATGAGACCCCTGTTGGTGCTGGAG